CAAAATCTCACACATCCAGTCAAATGGTGCAAAATAGGGATGCATCCTGCAATACTGATACTGGTGTCGGTTATTAGGCCGATGCTGTGTTCGTTTACTCAACCTCATAAAAATGCACTGATACCGAGCGGATACAGTGAAGGATGTTCTGTCCAAACAGAGAAGAATTACGTCTTTGCAAATTCCTACCAGGATTGCGATTTTAGCCCATTTTTAAACAAACACAATCACCACCACTTTCCCAATACGGATGGAGACACGTAGGCTAAAAAAAATGGAGGCAAAAAAGTTGACATTTGCTACCAAAGTCCATCTACGCCAACTTTTGACTGAATAGTGAGGTATAAATATATAAATAATGTTTTTTTTTATTTAAAAACAGGCTGTAGAGAGACCGTACTGTCCTACCGTGTAAATTTCAGTGCACAGTGCGGTTAGCCGAGCTGCTGTAGCCCAGTTTCTCAGTGTGTTTGCTCAGTACTCGGTTCACCGCGTGTTATTTTGAATGAAACAGCTTTATTTGAAATTGTTCACACACAAAGCTGTCTGTAGCAGCTGCATTTCACGTAAGATTAGCATATTCATGCAGTGTGAGTATATAAACCGTAGCTTTGTCCGAACACGACAAATTTAAAACAGTGTGTCGCCAAAGGACAAGATTTCTAAAATCACTTAGTGTCTTTAGAGGACAGGAGCTACAGCTCAACCAGCCAATCAAAAGACTCCAACAAGACGGGAAACTGGAAGCATGAGCTCCTCGGATGCGTTAGCGTCGGATGTGATTCCAGCTGTCGCTGTGCTGCTGCCGAAAGAGACAGATGAGGATCAAAACTATGAAACATACTTTACTTACAGCTGTACAGAAGAGCTTTTCTGCCCGTTCTTCTCCACTGCAGCGCTACTTGATCCAGGCTAGCTATTGCACTTCAGTTAAAATCAGCTAGATTTGACCAATAAAATCGAACCTTGCTGGTCAGACACTTACTGTCTGTATTACTACAGTCATATGGCTGAAATAAGGATATTCGTAACATTAGCTAAAGGGGCGTCACTACAGATTTATGGGTGGGGGGCTAAGCCTTTATTAAGGGGGTCTAAGTGCATGCTTCCCAAAATGTCTGTTAACTATGAACTTTTAGCTTTAGCAACAGGTGGAAAATTTATCAGAAAGGCTATTTGTTCAAGTGGGCGCACAGTAGATCTGTCTCTCCATAGTTTGTATTAAGCCCAGATTGAGAATGACTTTAATACTGTGTCTGTCCACTAACAACAGGCACAGATCAAGCAAAGGTACTGAAGTCAGGCAGCGCTATCTCATCTCTCTCACATCAGCTGCAGCTCCTAAACATTTTATTCAAATAAACAGATTTTAGATTGATACCATTTCAGTTTGTGCAATCAGAGTGATTTTGTTCTGTAGTTGCACTGGTGTTTAAAAGTCTAGGTGACCAACAGTGACATATGGCAGCACAAATACATACTGTATACATATATACTCAAACACCGTTAGAAATAAAGGTTCTGTTCAGGTACGTTTTACGTTCATCAAGGTACAAACAGTGTAAATGTTCCCTCAAAGGTCCAACAGTGGGTTTAAGGTCTGATTGTGAACCTTAAATAAGTGTTTCCAGGTGAAAAGTTCGTATTTGTACCTTTTCATAACCGAATGTTTTAAACAGAACAGTAAAATAAAAGCCTGGAGACGAGACGGGGTGTGTGGAGTCAGTACAGCTTAGAACATATCATTTCAGTGAATTATGGTTCAGTTATGTTCCCTGACTAAAGGTACTGAGATGGACCCTTGAGGGTTCCACCCCAGACAGTTTAGTACCTTTATTTCTGAGCGTATATATGTACTATGTATAATGTACAAATGTTTATATATGTATAAATGATTATATATAAATAATTATATAGATATAACTATGATTTTAACTAACATTTACATTAATTTCAGGGGGGATAAATAATATTTCGGAGGGGCTAAAGCATAGATATACATACCTAGATGCCACGTTGCCTCTCGTTCTCTAACTGAGGTGATACGTCTGCGAATCCACCATGTTGGAGAGGTCAAGATCTGCTTGCAAACAAATTCACTCGTATTGAGAGACGATGAGTCTCAGGATTAAATCAGCCACAACTTCCTTAGTACTCAACTGATTTTCACCAAATCTGTTTTGTTATTAATCTAGGCTGCACGGTCTGCTCTCGGTAGCTTTTATTACTTTAATAACTCATGTTGATAATTAGCCAGCTGGACCAGCAGGAAAGTATTCTGTCTGCACCTGACATTAAAAACAGAGTTTAGCGTGAAACATAAACCTACACACATCAGCAAATCCATCAATGTGTGAAGGACGAAACTAAAGTTGGCTTCCTATTTGCCAGCGTCTTGTTCGAGTTTTCCCGTTCCACCTTAAATGGTGCAGCTTTAGGCCCCGGAAAGTGACTGCTGCACCATTTAAGGAGGAGAAAAACTCGAACATGAAGCTGGCAA